TCTTTCTGCTTCTAGGTCGATTTCTTCTTCAATGTCTGTCATCCCATCGTCCTCCTCGTCGTTGTAGGCCTCTCTAGAAGTCTGGCCTTCTTCACATACCAAGACGCAAGCTTTCCCTTCGTTGTCCTCCCTCTCTTCTTCCTTTTCTTTATTCTTGAATTCATTGGCCAGTAAGTAATTATTGGCCACGACAGGAGGTAACGTACCAAACTGAATGGTAAGGGGCTGATCTTGATCTTCTCCATCCCTTCTGTCCCGCTCAAACTTTGATCTCCCAGAAGAGGTTTCTGGCAGTTCCTTCATTGATTCATTTGTACCGGTCTCTTTACTACCTTTGAGGACATTTTGATTGACTACCTTGAGTAGTTTAGGCACTTTAGGATGTAGCACTCCCTGTTGCTGCCTCATCATCCGTCCGTAGTTTCGTTGGAAACGCCTTTGTTGGGTCCTAGTCATCTCATCGAAGGGTATTGCCCTTCCTGCATTATACTGGAATGAATGCCATACATTTGGCCGGCGAGGTTGCGGCCTGAATGTTCTTCCATTATCTGCTGGCCTGAACTGCCTCTCAAAAGGCAGTCCTCTATAGAATGATGTACCTAGCCCTCTACCAGGCTGAGTGTTTGGGAAGAAGGTAGGGCGATAAGGATGCTGCCATGTCCCTGGTTTCTCCGTATTTCCATTCACTTCTCTTTTACACCTTGCACACAGGACGTCTTCGTCCTTTTTTGATTCTTTCCCCTTGATTCGTTCAAAGACGCTAGGATGTGGTCTAGGATCTTCTTCTCCATCATCTACGACCAACTTGAATTTTGACAACTTGTTTTTGAATCCAGATGTCACCATGTTTACTCCAAGTGGCTGTGGGAAAGGATTTTCATCCACTGCCATCTTTTTCTTATCATCGAACGTAATTCGTCCTGATTCAATGGCATCCTGCAATGCATAGCGGAAAACCAAGCAATTGTTAGTCAAATGTGACCATGCATTATGCCACTTACAATATTTTTTACCCTTAATTTGTTCAAGGTTTGGCAATTTGTGCTTATCGCTCAATTTTATCTGCTTATCCCTATATAATTTATCAAATATAAGGTCAGCTTTGGTTACGTCGAACGAGAACGTTCTAGCCTTTATGTTTCCATCTTTTATGGGCTCATCTTTGCCCGATGGTCTAGGCTTGACCAATATAGGACAAGTATATGTATCTCCTTTGACCAATTCGGTCAAACACATTTCGGCCTGATCGTATGACTCGTCGTCGATGGTATGAACATCAAAATTTTGGTCTTTGTAATAAGTCCCTTTACTAGAATTTTTCATTTGTTCTTCCTCTCTTATCAGTCGCTCATACCTAATCACATTCGCACTCAACTGGAAAAGGTCAGGAAATTCCTTGTCCTGGAACTTCTTTTTTAAATCAAAGCTCAAGCAGCCTTGAGCAATTTTGACAAATTCTTTTTCGGGCAGAGGTACAAAACATTTGCTTCTTGCTGTCTCGAACCTTTGGAGAAAACTTTCTGCCCATTCGTTTGGCATTTGACGTACGTTCGCCAAATCAGCCAAAGTGACTTCAGACTCAGTTTTATAAAACTGAGCGTGAAACAACTGTTCCAATTGTTGCCATGTTTGAACAGAGTTCGCTGGCAAGTTGATGAACCAGGAGAAAGCTACTCCTGTTAACGAACTAGGGAAAAGTCTCATTTTATGGTAATCAGTTACATCACCACTTTGCAATGTGAATCGCCCTATGTGTTCTAGAGTAGACATCTCTCCTAAACCGGTAAACAGTGAGAATTCTAGCACTTTGTACCCTCTAGGCCATGGATATGCTTGGTCTATCCAATCAGGATATGGCTTTGTGTACGTCGGCCTAATGACGGGACGCACCCCAAAAGCCATCTGATCCTGTACGATTTCCATAATCTGGTTCCTCAACATGACGTTGGGGTCATATGAAATTCCTACAGGTTGTTTAACCGGTTGATTTACATGAGGCCTGATGTTTGGTCCTTGATTGGCAACAAAATTACCATGATTAGGGCCATTACCATTAGCCTGAATATCTATTCCCTCATTAACACGTGGAATATTCTGTCCATTGTTTAGAACATTATCTCTTCTGTTTGGTTTACCCCCAAGTTAGGCATACTACTACCATTGTTCTGATTTGGCACTGTAGTACCCCCTTGGTTTGAAGTAGAGGGACCAGAAAGCGGTTCTACCCCTTGATTCGGATTTAGGACCGAGGGATTATGTCCTACAATTGTCCTAGTTTGAAAGTGGTTTGTAAGAGGTATAGCCGGTTGACATATTTGGCATACTAACTTATTCATTGTTTCGTTCAACGTCTTTAGTTGTTTGGCCATGTTGTCATAGTGTACATTCCCATTTTGCGTAAATCTTTTCATATTATGAATACTTCGAAGATTTACCTGTTCAACGACGTCTTGCGTGAGATCTCCAAGTAATGCACGCATGGTTCGAGGACTCAACTCCGTCATTGGTTCGTAACGACTGTTACTGCTCTGATTCTGTCCATCTGTTCGTGAAGAGGCATGCTGCTCCTCATATCGCTCGATCACAGACTGGATTCCTCCCTGACTTGCTGCTTCCTTATCGGATCTCTGAGGCATATTGTTTCACCTTTTGTACTTTCAACACCTAACACCACTGTCCCACCGGGTGTGCCAAAATTGTTTTGCGCAGGTTATTCGCTAACAATTAAAAAGGATCAGACGATTGTGTAAGGGACAAAACCTCTTGAGACAAAGTCCCAAAAAGGGGTGTTCTTTTATTGGCGATGACTTTACAATTGGAAACGAAAAATAAAGTGCCTCCAAGGGGCGCAAGCACACGAGTTACTGAAAGAAAAGTGTTTAAGTCTAAAAACTAAGGAAATTAAAATTACATATTCTCTGTTCGAGAGTTTTGGATTCGGTCCTTTGTTTCTATGTCCTTTCTCCCTTTTATACTTCGTGGACAATCTCTTTGTGATCAACCACCCTAAAAACTGCTTGATTGTCCTATAACTGCCCACTTTCCTCATAATGACCAACTTGTCATAAAAACTGCTTTTTTTAACTGCTGCCGTTACTCTTTATCGTTCAACCTCTTTCGATTGAATTCCTTGAATCGTGGAACGTGATAGGGCTGCTTTAATAACTGCTTTGATAACTGCACTTCTTGATAACCACGACGCTTTATATTTGTTAAGACCTTGGGCGACTTGAAGGTTTGGGCGAGAATAGAGTAACAGCTCTGGGCGACTGTATGACACTCCATTTGCTCAGATTCTGGGCGACTTGTAAACTTGGGCGATGGCGTTACCGCGTTTTTGGGCCTCCCTGTTTGGGCCTTCATCTTGATTTGTTTGATTGGGCTTCATTCTTTGGGCTATCTGATTTGGGGATCCTTCAATTGGGCTTCACTCCTTGGACTGTTCGATTTGGGCTGAATTTTTATGTGTCAACATGAACAAACATACTTTAATAATGTTGGATGTTGCTCTACCAAGGGTCGTTAATGTGACATCGTTAAAGTATGTTAAGAATCATATGAAGATTGTGAATGATCAATAGATGATTCGTCACTCTTAGATAGTAAGAGGTTATGATCTGCATTTCATTCATTAAGTTGAAAACAAAATCCTTGACCAATGCGTACTCATAAATCGAAAATGAGTTTTCTACTTATATTTTCTTAATAGTATAATGAAAGATATGATCGATAATTGAGATTGACACATATCCATATCTCGAGATTGATCGGGTCATATTGACAAAGTGATTATAGTTTCACAATAAATGAACAAGTTTGGTTTTGCCATACCACGTGACATTTTCCGTTATATGTATTGCCTGACACATTACAAGATGTCAATTTGGAATAATGGACGTGAATTGGTGATAAATTAAAAAATGATATTTTAATTTATCGATTTTGATTATATCAAAATATTAATTACGTTGTTAGGCATCGTGATTGAGAATCAATGGGTTACATACAAAAGGAGAACTAGAAGAATGTGATTTACCAATTAATTAATTGACAAGTGTTGGACAATTAATTAATTGTATTGCTTGTTAATATGTCCGAATTAATTAGTTGGATTAATTAATTCATGGACCAAATTTAATTAGTTGGATTAATTATATATTGGACCGGATTAATTTAAGAGACAGACCAAGTCCACTTGGACATATATTAGGCTGTTAGGCTTTGAAAAATCTAGAGAGAACATAATTATTTTTGATAGCATAAGAAAAGAAAATCCTAGATCTCCAAATCTTGTTTCTTATGTGTATTTTTGTTGGAGGCTAGACAATTTTTCATGTTATAAGATCAGCAAAGGAGTTTGCAGAATCTACAAAAGGGTATAATTCCTATAACAATTTCTATTTAAATACAAAATAAATTTTTGGTGAGAATTGAAATTATTTTATTTTTCGTTACGCATGATTAATTAAATTCCCAACAAAAGGGCCATTCACAACAATCAAAGGTTAGAGAAGCTAAAGGAAGAAAAATCTTATAATCTTTCACTCTAAAAATCTGCATCGAATTCTAGAGTTCTCCAATTGAAATTTGAAGTGCCTTTTTCGCTGAAATTTTTCGGTGTATTATGACATCGTCTTTATCACCTATTAATGTGTAAGTCTAGTGTTCAAGTTTCCCACAAGCACATAGCCATTGTATTTTGGTGTGAATGTAGGGCAACATTTCTTCTATTGGCAAGTACGAAGTTCAAATCGGTGAGATTTGACTCTCGTATTTCTTCTTTGTATCAACTTTCAAAGCCATTGACCTAGCCACAGCCACACTATGAAACTTTGTTTTCTTTGTAACAAGATTGATACTACCAATGGAAAGGCTATCTCGAGGAGGCATATCATCCGCAATTATGCCTCAATCCAAATATTTTTGAAAGTAGAGCTGCTATATTATACAATTAAAAGATCATCAATGAAATTACAGAACCATCTGCAACAATTCTCCATTTAATGACTTTTATTTAATACTGTGTACAAACTCTTCCAGACCCTCAGTGCACACAAAAAGAACAAATACAATTTGCATAAGTGGAATGTTCATACTACAATTTCAGAAAAAGCCTAACCACCACGGCAACAAGAGCTTCGGGCCATTTACTCAGCCTCTCTTCGATCAGAATCTTCGGCAATTCACTATTTCTTTCTGGTTCTGGTTCTGGTTCTGGTTCTGGCTCCAGCTCCTTGTATCTGTAAATGTAAGCAATTAAAATAAACACAAGCATATTTACTGAACTCAAGGCTGCAAGCACCCAGTAATATCGATCTAGTCGACTCTTGTTCAACGTATACTGGAACCAGTTTTGTCTACCACCCTTCTCACTAATGTTACCAACCACATAAACCGAAAGCACACCCCCTATGAATCCTAGACCAGATACCGCTTCACTCCAGTGTCGGAGGTAATTTATCATTGATTTGGGAGCCTGATCCTTGAAGAAAGCAATCGAGCTCTTCTTGAAAAACGTGTCTAGGCCAGCAAGAAGGAAAAACTGGTAAAGGAGCCAAAATATACTCATTGGGATATCGTCCTCAGACTTGTCGAGTAAATCGTGTCTTCTAATCACTTTCAGCCGTCGAATCTCTATTTTGGCAGAAGTTATGCAACACAGTACTGATAATACCATAGCCACTGCAATTCCAACGGAAGGTGCATACTTTTTATATCCAGCAAAGCATCTCGCCAAACGGGAGTAGGATATGGAAAACAGTGTTTTCGCACCGTTAAACAGCAGAAGAAACACAGGAAGAGGAAGTGTCCATTTTCCAAGCTTGCGATCCAAGTGATTTGCTTGTTCCAGGAAGTACGTGTTTCCCATAGAAGATACGATCCCACAAACTATGAATGTCATCCACATTGGAACCATCCGAACAACAATTTTTGCTTCTTCTACTTCTGCAACTGTGCAAAGCCTCCACCTATTCTTTTCTTGTTCTTCCAGACTTCTATCCCGCAATATGATGGCAGCCTTCTCTAAGCCCCTGTGTTAAAGCAAACAAGAGAACAAGAATCAATTTCGGAAAAGATAAGGTTAACTAGTTCTTCTGACATTTCTCGTTATAAACAAATTATTTGTTTCAAATGCGCCTAATGTAAAGGAAACAGACAAGTGAAAACCTGAGAACACGAGTGTGGGAAAATGACTGATGCTCAGGGCCATCTTTCCTATAAAGTTCTTTATCATCAAGAGGAAATTGTTGGGATATCTTAAAAGTAGAGGCCACAAAGACTCTGCAAACATTTGTCAATGGACTCCCCTGTGGTTCAGGCTTAATGTATGAACACGAACCGCTCAAGAATAGAAGTGTCGCAGCAGCAGTACAGATTGCCGGAATTCCAATTTGGATTGTCCATTGTTTAATGTGAGGTAGAACAATAGATCCAATTATTGGTGGCACAGTGGTCACCATAACCATGCCTAATATCTGAAAATAAATTTTATTGCCGTCATCAATGTCAAAGTTCGTTCTCTGTTTAACAAAGAAAGGATACAGAGAGACGCTGTGACCAGCTATTCCTACAGCTAACAATGCCAAGGCCGTGTAGAACAAAACTTTTTGAGTGCCGCATATACAATTTGGTTCGTAGTCTTTGCAGGTGCCCATGGAACTGGCGAGGACTGGCGGTGTTGACATGTAAAGAAACCCCATACCCTGGAAAAAGTTGGAGTTCAGAAAACTTGAGAACTTCACTTCAGGTATACAAGGAAATTACTGAACACAAGCATCACCGTTTCAGAAACTTTTAACACGGACAGTTATTAAGGGTGCGTTTGGTTTGTTATATTCAAGCTGTTTTCAATTTTTAATTTTGTAAAACAATGAAAACGTGTCTGGTGTGGATAAACCTGTGAGATAAAACTCAAAACACATTTTTATCGTTCTTAATATTTTCAGAAAATTCTGAAAACACTCGAAACTTTAAAAATAAGCGTTTAAAAAGAATTTTGAAAAATAAGAATATAAAATTCTAATGTATAAAATTTTAAAAAGTAAAATTCAAGAAAAAATAAATTAAAAATATAAAATTGATAAATTCTAAAAAATAAAATATAAAATTCTAAAAAGTAAATTTCTCAAAAATGAAAAACAAAAATTCCGAAGAAATTAAATTATAAAAATTTTTAGAAAAATAAAAATTATAAAAAAAAAATGTTCAAATTCTTAATGATCTTTTATATAAAACGTTTAAAAAATATTTATAAATGAACAAAAAAAATAAAATTCTCAATGCACGTGATTAATTTTTATTTATTTACTTTTGTAGGAAGAAAATAATTGTAAGATTTGCTAACTTTAAAATGTATATATTATTTGCATCTTGTTTGGTCTTGATTTTTCAAGCCAAAAAATCATTTTTTGACTGTTACTTAACACAGTCAGTCGTCTTTTTTTATGTCTTTATTTACAGGTGGAACCTACTTTCAAGTTAACAGTCATAAAAATCCTTTGCAAAATTAGCGCCAAACAAGCGCTTGATAATTTATTAACATAGGATTGTTCAATCTTTACTAAATAATCAAATTTCATAGAATAAATTGTAATAACATAATTTTTCAAAGTTCCGAGTCAAACTCATTTTCTAATTTTCTATTCTGAGAAATAATTTTTCAAAATGAAAAAGTAATTGCATTTTTAGCAAATTTAAAACAGAAAATTGAAATTGAAATCAAAACTCAAAATTGAAAATTGAAACACAAACCAAATAGCCCTAAATGTTTTGAGCATAAAGAGTTAAATTGCTGGGCCATGTTATTCCGTTCTAATTATAGTAGAGGAGAAGAGGAAGAAGGCATTTTTTGGTTGGATCAACCCAACCAGTATGACTTTAACTTGTTTTGTTCAAAAACTTCTTCCGACGCTTTTCGAGAGTCGAACAACGGTATTCTAATGAAATAAGGAAAATGTCACTTTGTCCGAAAATGTTTGACACCCGATGTGACCGACCCTCACAAAGTGCACGGACTCCACGTGAATTAAATAATGTTGACCCCCAAGGGGTGTGTCTTCGTATGTCAACCATTATATTTCCCTAACTCGATCCATGAAATAAAGATTATTCTACTTGGGCATTAAGAATATCATTATGGTGTTCATTATGTACCCCAAACATTAATCATGAAATAAAAAGCTTCAACAAAAGTAAGGCCCACTTAACCTGTACTTGTACAGGGCAAAAGTAGCACGATTGATGTTATTAATCTGTCCACTAAATTCCTTCTCTAGATAAAGGGGTTTTTTATTCAATATATTCTGAAATTTAAATCTCACATATACGGAGGCATTAGTTATTCTTGATTTATACTACCATGATTGCAGTTTATGTATATTACAGCTCGAAGAAGCATAGATCTAACATTTCCCATCTCTTTCGATTTCTATCACCTATTAGTTATTTACACAATCGGTGGGGATATCGAAGTCTAGAAATCAAACCATGGAAGACACAATTTCTGTTAAAGTTCCAATTCCAAGGCTCGAAAAACATGCATCCAACCACAGAACTTGAACGTACTTATATCTCTCTTCCCGAATCTAAGACCAAAATAACAATACAGGGGAGAGAGAACAGGCTATAAGCTCAAAGATGCCTGAAGTATTAATCTCTTAAATTCTATGTTGACTCAAAAATTACCTCCAATATCCCCAAACAGATCGGACAATAGGATTGAACCAACAAAGTTGAGAAGATAGAAGAATTAACTAACCACACTGTAAGCTAGACTAGACAGCAGGAGCATTAAGAAGTGTCCCAGAAACGTGTCGACGAGGTAGAGAAACCCAATCGGCAATACCTTAGTAACTCCATTCCAAATGTTCAAAATTCCATTAGCATGAGTAAAACTTAGTTTCCATACATCTGTTAAGTATGTTTGCATCGCAAACATTGTGTACGCAGCCAATATATCAGCCCATTTCAAAACTGCCATTATACAGCAAGCAAAACATTTCACCATATAAATCCATCACCAATTCAATTTGATTCGAACAAATAGGAAGAAAATATAAGAGAATGAAATGTGTCTGTATTCACAGTGTAAAAGAGACTCCCTTTTCATATTTAGAAAAGGACGTCTAATATTCTATGTCAAATTTAGAATTTTCTATTACAAATATAAAATATTCTATATCAATTACAATATATTTAACAAGGGAAAATTTCATAGATAAGAAGATATGTATCTATCATTTCAAAACTAAGAATAAAAGTTTCAAATTTCAAAAATCAGATATTTATTAAATTAAATTTATTATTTAATTAATTAATCATATATTTTATTAATTAAATATATTAAATCACATATTTATGTACTTTGGTCACAAATTGACGTTTTAAATAGTCACGTATTATTTTTCGATTACAGACTCACAAATCAAAATTTTCATATGTCACAAATTATTTTTATAGTCACAATTACAGGTCACAATTTATTGATCACATATTTTACTGGTCACATATTTCATTAATCACATATTTTGTAGGTCACATATTACTTATTGATTACAAATTAGTCAATTTGTTGGTCACAATCGTTCAAATATTGATCACGAACCACTTCACCATCTCACCCTATCTTGCCCTACCCTAACCCCACCCCACCACAACCATCGCTGCCACAAACCACCACGTCGCCACGCTGTACCTAACCCCAATCCACTATAACCACCACCTCTGCCGCTCATACACCATACCTTAAATCACCGCCACACCATCACTCCCTGCACCACCGCCTATAGAATCACCACCTCACCATCACATCAATAGCTTCGCTTACATGCCTTACTGCCATGAAATAAACACAAATCCAATAGCTATCTCCATGTGGTGCCACCACCATCAACACTAGTCCGCCTTCAAACATCATCCCCCTCGCGCCTTGCTGCCATGAAATAAACACAAATCCCATAGCTACCTCTGTGCGGGGCCACCACCATCAACACCAATCCGCCTTCAAACACCATCCCCGCGCGCCTTGCTGCCATGAAATAAACACAAATCCCATAGCTACCTCTGTGCGGGGCCACCACCATCAACACCAATCCGCCTTCAAACACCATCCCCGCGCGCCTTGCTGCCATGAAATAAACACAAATCCCATAGCTACCTCCGTGCGGCGCCACCACCATCAACACCAATCCGCCTTCAAACACCACTGCCCGCGCGCTTTGCTGCTTGCACTGTGTCATCACTGCAGATTCGGGTTGCTATAGCAACAACGACGGCGACAGCGACGATTTGAGAGTAGAGAGATGGATGGTGAAGACTGAGAGAAAAAAGGAGAGGAGAGGACGACGGTGCACAATGCTGAAGAGAGAATGAAGAGGAGCAAGGAGAGAGAAACTTCAATGTAGGGTTTGAATGGAGGGAAATATATGGTAGGATGTATTTATCTAGATTAATTTATAATATTTAAATTATCTGATTTTTGTATAAATAAACATTACATCTTGTTTTAGAATTTAGATCTTTTAAAGTAGGCCTATATGTAATTTCCACATTTAACAATGTTGAATATTTGTTCAAAATCAATGGAATAATAATGGACTAATTGTTGGATTCAATTGGGGAATTGGTAGAATCAAAAGAAATTGAAAAATGAAAATTTTGATTTTTTACCTATACGTACACACATGCTTAATTTTGTGTTTACACGAGATGTGTTTTGGCTAAAACAGAATCAAATTTGTTTCTACTATGCATACGCAAGGTTTATACTGTGCGTACGCATAGTGTTAACAAATAGCTGTTGGCTAGTTTTTCAATTTGGAACTTGGGGACCGTTTTAGATTAAAAGTTGTTACTTCTCATCTTGTTTTGGCACCAATTCGTGATGTATTGATTGAGACCTATAAATAGGTGATGAATGATCAATACAAAAACATTAGAAACATTGAAAAACATCTTGAGATTCACATATCATTCCACATTGAATCAAACTATTGATTTAAATTCATATTCAATATTTTTGTATTATTAAAGTTTTGGAGGACTGCACTTATACTTTAGTGTTAAATCATTTACAAGGCTTGATATAATCCCACAAACCATTTGCCAAAACCCTTGAGCATCTCTTTCAATCCTGAGAGGAGGCAAATATCATTTGAGGACAGCGATCCCGCGTTCGAACCTTCGAATTTGTTCTTGACAACTTTTTGATTTTCCATCTTGTTGCTGTAATTTTGTTATTCCTTTTTATCTCTTCTCCAAACCCCTATTGTTTCCAACAAAAAACCCCTTCAAACTCGAGGTGACATGAAGACGACTAACTGAAATTTGGAAATGAGATAGATTGTAACTGTAGAGCATCGCAAAAAGATGAAGACGAGCAAAGTGATAATCAATCTCTACATGTCTGAAATACATTATGGTGGACAATCCGAATGGTATTCTCATTGACACAATAGAGACGAATGCTAGTGAGCTGGGAAGCGTCCATATCAGAAAGGATTCATTGAAGACAGATGGGCTCAAAAATAGTGCCAGCTAATGTAGGATAATCGACTTTGATGGTCGAGTGGACAACAACAGATTGTTTCTTACTCTTTTCAGGAGATAAGAGAACTTAGGATAATGCAATAGCCCATCGAAAAATACTGATAAGGATCACCAGTCCAATCAGAATCAACATAAGCCCGTAAATCAAGTAATGTGGATGAAGAACAGTAAAGGCCATGGAACAATGTCCATTTGACATAGTGAAGATTCTGAAGAACAACAACTTAGTGAATAGAGCTAGGATCACTCATAAATCTACTAATAAGATGTATAACATAAGTAAGGTCAGGGCAAGTGAACGTGAGATAGATAACGCTTCCAACCAACTGATTGCAAAAGTCATATTCAATAGAGGTTCACTATTTATTGCAAGGAGCTTGACATTAGGCTCAAGAGGACTAGTTTAGTCTTGCTATTCGTGTAGCTCTCGAGAGGAGATCCAAAGCACATTTGGCTTGAGAAAGATAATGCCCGTCTGAATCAAAGGCTACCTAAGACTAAGGAAATAGCTTGTGATTTCTCACAGATGTTGCCAATTTGTCGATGATAGAAATCAGATTAACAAATCCTCTCACCTAGTTACGGTTTTCACCTCCAAATCTCACTAATTTTGATGTTCAAACTGGAGCTAGAGATGAAACGGTTATTTGGGTGGGAAATATTTTAACTGCATGCATTCTTTTTCAAATGAGGGGGTATTTATAAATTTTCCTCTAAAATTTTGGGGTAATTTAGTTGTTGTAGATGAATAATAGATGGCCGCTCCTCGTTGGCTTATTGATAACTGATTCCATTATAAGCGTCACGCTTTACGTGTTTCTTGACAGCTTGTGGCCAACATGGATGAAGGAGTAGTTTGCATTCATTTTATGCGTACATTTGATGCCTTCAATCGTCTCGCATATTGCTATATGCTTTGTAGAGAATTCGGTAGAGTTGGGCTAACAGATAGGACGAGTGAGATTGGTAGCAAAAGTATTGTTGGACATTTTGGGCCTCAACTATCAAATATTTGATTGTTTGGATTGACAAAAAGTCTTGAAGAGCGTTTATGGGAGAAAGACGTTATGAAAATCTATAGGATTCTAGGATATGCTAACACCAGTGCAGGAAAAAAAATTGTAAAAGAGACTCCCTTTTATACTTACAGCCTAACATCTACATGGAGTAATAAGATAATTTATAAGGAAATGAATCAGGGAGGATCAGCTAATTATGAGGAAAATAATCTTGAATAATAAAATAATATTCTATGTGGAAATATAAAATATTCTATAAAATTTACAATGTATTTAACAAGAAATGTAATGTTATTCATAGTTGCTAGACGCCCTACACGGCATCCTACACGACGGTTTGTGATTTGTTGTATTAATGTGGTAGTTTTTTCTTGTCACATGTATATAATCACTAATCGCCACATACATTTCATGTACGGCAAGTGCGGTACTGAATGACTGCAAATAACATTATTCTAATAAGAAACATAGATAAAAAGAGTAAAACATCAACTAGTTACCCTTAATTCGTACAAAAGTCGTCATTTCTGAATTAAACGAATCACCCTCACTTCCTGCATAGCATTAATTAAAGGGAAAAAACTTCAAAATCCACATAGAAAACTTAAAAATAGAGCAATCCCTGAAGCAGGTATTTTACGTCCAATTATTAATCAAAAACTTTATTGAAAGTTAGTAATTAATTGTAATTTTTGTTCTTCTTACCTTCAAACTTGTCAGTGCAGAACTTTCAGAAACACAGAGAGATGGGAAACTCGCAGCTTTTTATATGCAAATTCATCATCCGTCTGTCTCTCTCCATTGGTTGAAAATAAAATAACATCAACAAGTTTGATCCAAACAACATTCTCAAGTCTGAACACGGAAATTAATATATAACCTTACCAGTCGTGCATTTTTCTAGTTTGTTAGTTTCTTTGATGTACTTTCAATAATTTTTCAATTCCTAACTTTTTCTAGTGTGGACGTCATCATCATCTGGAATGGTGATGTCTGAATTCATAATGTTACTGAATAATAGAATTGACTTGAATCAACCAGCCAATAGGAATAAAGTGAAAAGTGAAAAGTGAAAAGTGAAAAGTGAAAAGATTTAAGGCATATCATCCAGCTGAGTTTAAGTATCCATTCTTCTAAATTATTATTGGTTACTGTTGGGTCTTAAATGGGGTCAGAATGATGCAACAATTTCAGATGTGAGGACCACAAATGGGAATGAAAATATGCAAATAATGGGGGCAAAACAGATACAAAATTATTATTGGGCCTTGAATGTGAATGAATGGATGAGAGCCAAATTGGAGGTATTTCTTTTGCCCATGCAAGTACACGGGCAGAACTACTATGCGATCGCGTGGCCACTTTTTTAGCAAACTGAAGTCAAAATAGTTTAACCATGTTATTGCATGGTTTAGATGATCAGCCGCTGAGGCTGGTTTTCTTAATTATTTTTAGCAGTTTTTCATGAATAAAACACAACTTTTCGTAGATGTGAGGAGCCTTTTCATAGTATATTGATGAAAAACTATAAAAAATGATAGTTTTTCATTTCTCAGCATAAGATACAACAATTCATTCCATAAAAACAAGAGATTATCACAATTCTCAAAACATATTCAAATTCTTTTGTGTTCTACAAGTTTTGAAAGAGAAACACTAGTGTTTAAGTGTTTTCTTCTATAAAGCTTGATTCAATCCTACAAACCATTTTTCCTGAGTCCCTTTAAAAATCAAATTAATTCTAAAGAGGACAAATATTGTTTGAGAACAACGAATATGTGTTTTGAGTCTTTTTACTATTGTTTCGCGCGGGTTAGTCGCTAACAATTAAAAAAGGGTCAGACGATTGTGTAAGAGACAAACCTCTTGAGACAAAGTTCCAAAAAGGGGTGTTCTTTTATTGGCGATGAACTTTACAATTGGAAATGAAAAACAATGTGCCTCAAAGGGGCGCAAGCACACGAGTTACAAAAAGAAAAGTGTTTAAGTCTAAAAATTAAGGAAATGAAAATTACATATTCTCTATTCGAGAGTTTTGGATTCGGTCCTTTGCTTCTATGTCCTTTCTTCCTTTTATACTTCATAGACGATCTCTTTGTCATTAACTACTCTAAAAACTGCTTAATCGTCCTATAACTACCCACTTTCTTCGTAGTGGCCATTTTGTCATGAAAACTGCCTTTTAACTGCTGTCATTACCTTTCATCGTTCAACCGCTTTCAATTGAATTCCTTGAATCGTGGAACGTGATAGGGCTGCTTTAACAACTGCTTTGATAATTGCATTTCTTGATAATCACGACGCGTTATGTTTGTTGATACCTTGGGCGACTTGAAGGTTTGGGTGAGAATAGAGTAACAGCTCTGGACGACCGTATGACACTCTATTCGTTCAGATT